GCAGTACAAATAGAGATGGATCCTGCTGGTGAATAACACTGTTACAAGGTTGGTCTCTGGGGTGGATAAGAGGAACAGCAAACACCCTGCTGTTTGGAGGAAAGAATAGGTGGCTGTCATCTATCTGCCTGGCAAAGGAGATGGGAGGGGGATGGGGGTGGAGGGAAGGAGGGAGGGTAAATGTGATTTAGCCCCAGTGATCTCCACAGGGTCTCATGCAAAGGTAACCCCCCACCCACCCACCAACCCAAATCCACATGGGACATAGTGGGGGATGTTTGGGGAATAAGAATCAGGGTGTGGAAAGGTTATTATCCCGGTGCTATCTCGATCAAAACGGGGGGAAGGGGGTTTGATAGAGAGGGTTAATGTCAGATCGATACAACAAAACACTCGCACTTTTGCACTTTTGAGCAATGAAAACTGCCACCATATGATCTCATTGCCCCCCTGAGGGAAAACCGGCTACTTGGCTTGATAGAAACACTGGTGAACGAAATGATACCCTTATACCAGAGGAGGCGATTTCCCTCCTACAGTTGTGGTTTTCAATTTCAGGCTAACCAAACCTACCATTCAGCCTCAAAACAGCTTGGTACTGACAGATGTGAGTGTTGGTGTGTGGTTGTGTGTGTGTGTGTGTGCTGGCAAACCGTTCGTCAGCCATATGGAAATGTCACAGAGTAATCATAAACAATTATCCTCCCCGGCTCTCAGAGCATCAGAGTAGGGCAAATTTGCATAAAGAGACACAAAGGCTCTGCCACTTACATCTGAGGAACAGACGCCCTGAAGCTCTGCACACACTTAAAACATATCAGGAACTAAATGGTGATGTTTTTCTAATACCTGCTTTTGATATCCTTGATTCTGTAGAGTGTGTTACAGAAAAGAATGTGGACTCTGGAAGATCCTTCACTTGGGATGCAAATGATAAAAATGCTTATTTAGGAACAAGACATCACAAGACCATGTAATGATCTTTTGCCCCCATTGAAGGCAGACTTTAGGTAGACATGAAACCAGCTATAGATCAATTCCAACCAGGCTTTCCGCCCAGCTGTAAATCAAGGAGCTGGACACAGAGGAGCTGGGAATGGATAATGGATGCTATGGCAGACGTACAGCAGACACAGAATGAATCTCCTGAGGAGTGGGTGAGGAATGGGAAGGTGGAGGGAGGGGTCGACAAGGATCGGCGGTGAGGGGGGTTGGTTGGAGTTCAGAGGGGTAATGGGGCAGCTGCTTGTTTGGGAGCAATGATCACCAATTGACAGACAAATAATGTGATTCTGCTGCCATGGAAATAAATAGCTAAGCCTCTTACAGGCAGCAGACATAATTGAGGACAAGGGATGTCAGCAGAGGGACAAACAAATTCATAAGCTTACAGACTGTCAGCTAAAATGTAGGGTTATTGTGCATATTGTGATTTGAATGCAGCATTTTAGAGAATGGTCCAAATGTGGTCTCTGCATAATATATTTTCATTGCCTATTCATTAAAGTTTACAATAATCACATTATCAGTTGCCAGTTTTAATGGACAGTTTGAATCTGTGCATAAAACAGCATTTCCTATTCAGTTTATTAAATGCCTGTTGCTAGGTTCAGCCATTAGTGTAATTGCCTCTTATCACTAGATGGCAGTAAAGTCAAGTGGTAGAATCTGTCAAACACAAGCAAATTGATGACTGAATCCTGCTGCTGAAGGTCACAAGTTCTTTGAGATCCCTGCTGATGAGCGTGAGTCATTAATTTTGGTTAAAATAATGAATATCAGTGCAGCCAGCTGCAGTTGGCAGTGATGCACTCTGATTCTCCTTGGCGCCAGGTCTCATATAGAAAATCCCTAATTTGTAAATATATATATGAAGCAGTTTATCTTCCGCTGATAAATAACGTCAATCTCATGAAATATCTGTAAACAACTTTACCCGGCCAAAGGAATTAGCATACCTGAATGAACAGAAGGCAAAAAAATCCTTGCCAGAGGGATGGAAAGTATTTCCAAGATAGACAGACTTCTTTGCCTTCCTGACTTCATTGCTGTGTGATAATGCACCAGATGGCAGGCTGCTCTCTTGCCATTACTCTGACAATATGACTGTAATGGAAGTGGAAGTGCCACAAGTGAGCGCCAAAAAGATTGAGCCCAACTGTCGTGTTCCATAAGGCCTTCCTATAGATGCTTCACACTGAGGAGACTGAGGCAGGTGTAGGCATCCATGTTAACACATCCCTCAGATACGGCGCAGTGTAGATTTGAAGAAGTAAGTGTGGTGTATGTTTTATGTCCTGGTTTGGAAAGCTTGGAATCAGATGTTTTGTTTGGATTCATTTCCTTCTGATCCTTACATTTCTTCATAGATACACACATATGAGGTGTGTCAGAAAGGTTCCAGGACAGTGTCACAAAAGATATACACACGTGGACAAAATTGTTGGTACCCCTTGGTTGATGAAAGAAAAACCCACAACGGTCACAGAAATAACTTGACTCTGACAAAAGTAATAATAAATAAAAATTCTATGAAAATTAACCAATGAAAATCAGACATTGCTTTTGAACTGTGGTTCAACAGAATTGTTTTCAAAAATAAACTCATGAAACAGGCCTGGACAAAAATGATGGTACCTCTAGAAAAGACTGAAAATAATGTGACCATAGGGACATGTTCAATCAAGGTGTGTCCTCTAATTAGCATCACAGGCGTCTACAAACTTGTAATCAGTCAGTCAGCCTGTTTATAGGGTTACAAGTAGTCACTGTGCTGTTTGGTGACATGGTGTGTACCGCACTAAACATGGACCAGAGGAAGTGAAGGAGTGACCATCTCCAAGCAGCTGGATGTTACTGTGACTACAGTTGCACATATTATTCAGAAATGTAAGATCCATGGGACTGTAGCTAACCTCCCTGGACGTGGCCGCAGGAGGAAAATTGATGACAAATCGGAGAGACGGCTAATGCGGATGGTAACAAAAGAGCCCAGAACAACCTCTAAAGACATTAGAGGTGAACTCCAAGGTCAAGGTACATCAGTGTCAGATCACACCATCCGTCATTGTTTGAGCCAAAGTAGACTTAATGGGAGACGACCAAGGAGGACACCATTGTTGAAAACAAATCATAAAAAAGCCAGACTGGAATTTGCCAAACTGCATGTTGACAAGCTACAAAGCTTCTGGGAGAATGTCCTGTGGACAGACAAGACAAAACTGGAACTTTTTGGCAAGGCACATCAGCTCCATGCTCATAGACGCAAAAATGAAGCATATCAAGAAAAGAACACTGTCCCTACTGTGAAACATGGAGGAGGCTCTGTTATGTTCTGGGACTGCTTTGCTGCATCTGGCACAGGGTGTCTCGAATCTGTGCAGAGTACAATGAAATCTCACAACTATCAAGGTATTCTAGAGAGAAATGTGCTGCCCAGTGCCCAAAGCTTGGTCTCAGTTGCAGGTCATGGGTTTTGCAACAGGATAATGACCCAAAACACAGCTAAAAACACCCAAGAATGGCTAAGAGGAAAACATTGGACTATTCTGAAGTGGCCTTCTATGAGCCCTGATCGAAATCTTATTGAACATTTGTGGAAGGATCTGAAACATGCCGCTGGAGAAGGCAGCCTTCAAACCTGAGACAACTGGAGCAGTCTGCTCATGAGGAGTGGGCCACAATACTTGCTGAGAGGTGCACAAGTCTCACTGACAGCTACAGAAATCATTTGATTGCAGTGATTGCCTCAAAAGGTTATGCAACAAAATATTAAGTTAAGGGTACCATCATTTTTGTCCCGGCCTGTTTCATGAGTTTTTTTGTTTTTTAAAAAATAATTCTGTTAAACCACGGTTCCAAAGCAATGTCTGATTTTCATCGGTTAATTTTCATAGAATTTTTATTTATGATTACTTTTGTCAGATTCAAGTTATTTGTGACCATTGTGGGTTTTTCTTTCATTAACCGAGGGGTACCAACAACTTTGTCCACGTATGTATTTCAAACCCAAACTACGAGTTTTCCCCTTCAGACGATAAACCTCTACAAAGAGATCCTGCGGTGTTTGCTTCGCTCAGTGTGCGAGAAGAGGTGAGAGTTGTGGCAGGACAAGTTGGGGCTGCTTCACCATGACAACGTGCCTGCTCACAATCCTGAACAGTTCCTGGCTGAGAAGAACATCGCCATGCTGGAGCAACCTCCCTACTCATCCCATCTGGCTCTGAAGAATTTTTTTCTTCTTCCCCAAGCTCAAGGGGGTCTTCAAGGGGACCCGTTTTGAAGACGTGGACGACATCACGATGGCTGTGATGACGGAGCTGAGGAGGATCCCAGAAAAATCCTTCCAGGAGTGCATGGCGGTGTGGCAGAGAAGGCTGGGAAAGTGTGTTAATCCAGGGAGATTACTTCAAAGTGGAAAACTTGTATTTTGGATTTGAAATACATCTTTTGTGACACCAGTTCTGAAACTTTTCTGACACACCTCGTATATCCCAACCACATCTACCAGTATATGGTATGCCAATGCCACCCAACCAGGTGTGAATAAATACACAAGTACTGAACTTCACTATAATAATGAGCTACTTATTCATTGTGTTACATACATCACGTTTAGTTTCACTACATATTTATATTAAGGAGTGTTTTCCAGGGTTTTTGCTTTGTGACCCTTCACACAAGGCCACTATCTGAGTTTTTAGCAGCTTCACTGTAGAGCTTCCTGTCCAGAGTTGATCTAACTGTTGCTGTCTTGGTACATAATTACATCCATTTTTCCTCAGAATCTGCTGTGGTGTAGCATACTGAAGCGGCACATCCTCACTTTTTATGTGGTGTCATTGTTCAGTAGTGAATCATTTATGGCTGCATTATATGCCACTTAACATGCACCGAGTGTGTAACAGTGTTTTTTTATGAATCACTGAGTCTAAATCCATTAAGAGCATGATTCCATTTCGAGAAAGGGCAGTGACATTTCGAGTGAAGACTCTGAAAACTTAAAGCAGATAATTATTTATTCATTCATTATATTTCCTGTAGTTTGAATTTCATACTTGCACTAAAAGGGAGAAGAAAAAAAAAAAACAAACTTAAATAGCGACAAAGAAAGTATCTGTTAGTACAAATCTGTTTCTTAAATACAAAACCATTTGCAATATTGTCAGAAAAGAGCATCATTTTCGGAGTATAGTGGGACTGTATGGAAGCAATACAAATCAGAATAATATAATTCTGCGCATCATGATATTGTTGTACAAAACCAAAGTTATGCAACTCGCTGCCAAGCAAATCAGAAAACAAGCAGATTCTGAATTTATATGCAGTTTTCTGTCCAGTTAATTACAGTACAATGTACACAGTGCACAGCAAGAAAACAAAAGAATATATGTATATATTTATATATATATTCTCTACAAGTAGTCTATATTTAATACAGTCCTATCAACAAGTTAAGCCATATCATGCACAATATTGCCGCTTGGGCTGTCTCACACGCTGCTTCTTGTCCCTGTACAATCGATTATGGTATTTACAAATTCAACAAATATTCTACAGGTATTTAAAAAAAAAAAGAAAAAAAAAAAGAAAAACTTGATGCAAGTTAAGAGAAAAGAAATCTTGATCCCATCCAAAGGCCCTCAAGTGTAGTTAGTACAAATGAACCACTTTTGCCTAATAGGAATTGAATAGCTAATGTACACACAACCGCACACACACAGACACACACACCCTCACAGATATCCATACATTAATACACTGCAGAAATACTATCTGGTACTGTACATAATGGCTGTAGACTTTATGCACCAGAAATTATTTTACCAATGTTTTAATCTGATCCAATGTTGGTGCATTTAACTTCTTGGAGGAATCAAAGCCAGTTCTGTGTCTCAAGGCATTGGGAGGCGTCTTAAAAAAAAAAAAAAGATGACAAGTTTGTATGAATTATTCTTCTGTCCTCAGAGTCCTCATCTTAAGTTTATCTCATCCATCCGTGGATGTAGCTTCTGCAGTCGTACTGCTGTCTCTGTTCCAGTCATTGAACTCCATAAAGAGACTTCAGAACTGAATCATTGTTTTGAAGAAAAGGCACTACCTGCTGAAGGAGCGCGGCAGGGGAGCACTGAGGCAAGCTGTTACGCTCTCAGTGTTCCCAACTGGCCTTCAGATCGAGCTCAGTATGAGGAGGTCACATGCGGGGCAAAGGTCATGAGGTCATGTGACATGCCATGCAGCATTTCAGCTTCCTCCTTCACGGATGCAGTCTGACAGAGCGGTGACAGATGAAGACGTATTAATGCAGCAACTTCAAGCATGCTGTGTGCACGGCTCCCAAAATCTGCCTTGTGGATTGTAAATGCATCATGATGTCACATAAATGTAACACATTCATATGACGCATTACATGAATGTATTACATTTTTACAGATTCCGGTACAAGCTTCTATGTTGGAAAGAAAAACAAAAAAAACAACACGGAGTAACAGCTATTTACTGTAGACACTGAACACTATTTGAACATAGCAGATAATATAATAACCATTAACATAAACAAATATAGTTCAGACAAGCACTGCATAGTCTATATGAGATTCCAGGTAAGAATGCAACACTTGTTAATATCAAAGTGTTAATTAATATATGGATTTAGGTAATGTCAGGTATTTTATGTACTGTTAAAATCCAAATTACGGTTGAGCTACTTCCTTCCTAAATGCGGCTTAGGCAGTGATAATGTAGGTATGGGTTTCCGAGCTTCTCCTTAAAGATTTCCAGTGTCTTTACTGAGTATTTCACATGTGGAACTGGGGATGGATGTGTGATCATAAAGCCATGCTGCGTTGGGACAGCCCTATGGGGGATCGAGGGGATGTGAGCAGTCAGAGCAGCGCCTCACACTGGTCTGTGAGGACTGATTGGCTACACAAAAGAGTTCAAGGAGTTCATGGCATTTATAGGGGATGGGGCCTCCGAGCTCTCGTGGCCCTCAGCAGTGTCCCTGCTGGCACTCTTCCCACTATACTGGCCGATAAAGGAGCCATCCTCGTTGAACTGTCCGTCTCCTCCTTCCCCGTAGTCAACTAAACTGTCGTCACTGTCGTCTCTCTTAACTGTCCCATTAGATGGCGTGCGGCTCCCTTTTAACGGTTTATGGTCCTCATTGTCACTGAAGGAGAAAATAACATGCAGGTGTTACAGGTGAGATGACGTGACAGATGCAACAAGGAGCTTAGTGATCACTTTTTTAGATGGAGCACTGAGCTGCCATTTCTTACCACAAGCGACTGAATTTGGTAATAATGGCAAAGTCACTCATATAAATATGCAGCAGTGAAATTTTTTTGCTCACTGCATAAGAATTACATTTGAATTTGGCTTGCTCCATGTCTAAAAAACGGAAGCTATGAATGATTAGTTGGTTTCCATCAAGCAACGGGGGAATAAAGCTCAAGCAATCATACCCTGTTCAAATTCCCCCTGAAACCAAATATGAAGTGGTAAATGTGTTGTTTGACGAAAAGCATTTCCCCCCACCCCCCAACACAGAGGTTGTGATGAGAAACAGAAAAACCCAACGCAATGATGTGAATCAAACTCGGAAAGCAAGGTTTCAGCCAGACATCCCCCGAAGCAAGCATGATAATAATCACAAATTGGCAAAATGCATGAAAAGTCTGCAAAGAAAGTTTTCTTTGGATATCAGAGAGTCGAAAACATTCCACATACATGAGTTGAACATCAATGAGGTATGATCACAAAGCCATCATAATGCTGCACTGTTCTGAAATTTAAATGGATTATAATCTGTAAACATTTAAGGGAGAGGACTAGCACAGAAAAAGCCGATCTGAAGGATGCATGATGAAGGCTTTTTGACCAGATATTAAACTTGATGACAGCTGTGAAACCTGGCGAGCGTTTTTCTCCACAGTGACTCAGTGGCACTGACCCTTTTTCACATGCTGGACTTGACAAAACATGGAGCCCAAAACCCCTCCAACACACCATCATCGTCCCTTACCTGTCCTGAGACCTACACCCCCATGCGGTCGGATGAGGACCTCCACCTGAGATCCCACACAAACCATCATTCCTACACATTATTGCACTTTGCACACACTTGAGAAGATCTGATAGTTCTATATTAGCGTGGCACTTTTGGCGGGCAAAGGTGCCACGTACAATACAAGCACAGTTTGAACCTAAAGTTTGCTCCCCTACAGTCAAACAAGAACAGCTCAGTTGAGTTAAGTTACGCCTTTATTGACATACTGTAAGGTTCCAGCTGAGCGTAATGAAACAGCATGGATGTAAAGAATACTCTCACAAAGGCACTATAATATTTGTACACTTTGCCTTGTGATTTGTCTACTGTTTTTAGGGTTGATGTCCTCTGGGGAGGTCCTGTTGCAGTGTAAATACTGTGGAGTTGTGATATTCTAGCCTGTATTTAAAAACAAGACCAAAACCAATAATATGCTGATCCCACAGATAATTATCATCTGAGTAGGAATAGCCTGATAGAGCTTGTGTATCTGTGCCATACACCTCCAGCGCTGTCCAAAAACTATTAAAAACACATTCACGAGCCACATTGTTACACTGGGCAACAAGCTCCTTCATTACAGCGAACATGGGCTATTAAGTCGATCCCACAGTTACCATCCTGCTGTATTAAATACTTACAAGCACAACAAATTTGCAGCTAAATATAGTTTTCCAACAAATATATTGTGACTTTTTTTTTTTCAAAAACCACAGTGTTCAGCTGTTTTAAGAAGATTTGAAGCCTTTTTTTTTATTTTTTAAAGCTACAGTATATATTTGTGACCCGTTTTTAAAGATTTTGATGCAAAGAGCCACAGACAAGCTGGGCAGTATTGAGAGATGAGTTACAATATTGTTGGTTTTGATCTCTTTGTGGTCTTTACAAAATAGAGTATCCCCAGTCCTATCCAGCAAGGATTACTACTGGTAAGAATGGCTACTGGCCTGTTTAAACAGCATTAAACCAGCTCCTGCACAGTCAGTGATGATTGCTTCCCTCGAACATGCTGATAGTTTCATATTAGATCCATATGCATATATATATATGTATATATGTATACTGTGTATCTATATAGAACCAATAAATCCATTCAACACATTATTGCCTAGAGCAAATGTTCATACAGTATATCAGATGTTATAACCATGCATATTACATATTTTATATATATGTATTTATCACAGCATAAAATCCATAGAACAGATTTATGTATACATAATACAAAAAGGAATATAAAATATAAAAGCAAGACCATCTTATAAATCGACTTATATAAAAAACAATATTTAAAAATGCTAGATATACAGAATTAAAGTGCTTCATTCTTCTTTATTCTGCGTGCGGTTGGAGAAGCGGCCTAGAAAGAGGATGCTAACAGGCATATCTGGATAACTGCTGTAAGTTAGCAGGAATGATGGTTTCAGTGGTTTCCAATCCTATCAGGGTCTCGTATGTCAGTAGCAAGACACTAGGCAAAGTGTTAATACTATATATACTGTACATACAATGTATATGAATAGCTTATTAGTTGGAATGGGATTCAATGCTTGGGGTTGGTTTAGGATGTGTTGCAAATGAACCTAGCTTATGTGTTTTTTTTTCCTGACAGTCGTATTTGAAAACATCCAAAACCCTAAATCCCTTAAACCTGAAGAATCCTGCTTCTCAAATGACACCACGATGCTATTTCAAGCACACACAATAGAGTCCAAAGACGAGTAGCATCCAGGACGTCCCAGAAACCAGAGCAAAAGAAAAAAAAAAAAATCTTGTGCTTCACGGCGGCGGAAGTTCAGATCGGAGATACTTCCTCTTGGTGCTATGACTTTTTGTTATTCGTGATTCTGGGTCATTTATACGTCAGCTGTAAGGGGTTGAGAAGAGGGAGGGAGTGCAGAGCTCCTGCCCAGCCAGAGAGAGAGAGAGCAGATCTGGGCAGAAAGCGGGCACAGGGCAAGGGTTGATGGGTAAATAGGGCTCTGGTGGCTCCAGAGGCCGGGGCGCTTTCTCTCACCTGTATTCCACAAAAGTACAGTCATCGTCTTTCATGGGCTGGAACTCTGGGTCTGTGTGTGCATCCTCCTTCTCTTTGACTGGTGAGGTAGAAGAAACCATTTAGACAAACCAGCTTAGCAAGAGACAATAACATTTTTGTTTTTTTCTTTAAATGGACCAGTGTATATTAGGCAGCTAGATGAGATTACTGTGTCATTAGAATATGAAAACATGAGAAGGATGCCGCCAGAATGTAAACAAATTCTTAGTTGATTCATTGTTGTAGAGATCTGTCTCCAGTCTTTGGATGAGAAGTATTTTTTAGGAGCGAAAATGGATAAATCATTATTCTTAAAATTAAGGATTCACAATATGTCAGCGACCACATCGATATCGGCTGATATTAGGGCTTTTTCCTGGTATATCGGTATTGGGCCGATGAACGAATTTAGCCAATGTGAAAAACTGATTGTCTAACATTAGAGCCTCCGTCTCTACATTTGATATTGCTGCTATTTCACAGATGTTTTGACTTAAATGGTTCTGGACTTGAACGTTAGAAATGTTTAAATATGTTTTACTTTTGTTACGTGATAAAGAAGACTATGTGACCTAATTTGATATGGGCTTCTTTTGAATAGTTTGTGCTTACTTACACTGTTATCGGTGTGAACAAAAATTGAATATCGACATCGGTAATATCGGTTATCTGCGATATCAGAAATCTTAATATCAGATATCGGTATCGGCCAGAAATTTTAATATTGTGCATCACTACTTAAAATCCAACTGAAAGCATTAAAGTGGGACTTTATCTAAGAGTGTTGGTGCATGGTGGCGTTTGTGCTACTACTCACCAGGGTATTTCCCTCCCTTATTCCTCTGGATGAAGCAGATTATGAGAAGGATCAGGATGAGCAGAGCAATGGCACACATGAGGCCAATGAACCATCCCTGAGTGGCGATGTCGACCTGTCTGCTCGCCACAGCTGGCCAGAGGAGGAGAACAAGGCTTAACATTTATGAAAGCACTCTTTTCCCATCTTTTCCCCAGTGGCAAGGAAAAAAATAGAAACAATTATCCATAATTATGTGCTAAAACAAACACGGAACATCAAGTTGGGTTTTTTGTTTTTTTTTCACAGAAAATGCATCTACTAGTTAGAAATTTCGCTCCGTGAGTGGATCATGATTTCACATTGTTACCGAAAAAGACAGCTTTCATGTTAGTTAGAAATCTCCTGGATTATATTAATGGTGACTTGAAACCACATTAGTAGTAGTACACAGTCTAAGAAATCAAGCGCGCACACAGTCACGGATACACGCAAGACAGTCACAATTACACAGGAACACACAGGTTTACTGAGAACGATATTAGGTTGGATATTATAACATTAAACACACACTGACCTTCTATATTAGCAGAGGTGCTTTTTTTAAAAAAAATTCCTGAATCTACAGCAAGACTGACATTAAATGCTGAATTAAATAGCTTCAACTAAACCATACAATCATGCATGCTGCTATATGATGTCTCTACATCACTACAGTACATGCCTGGCACACTGAGCGACCACAACACATCTGTTAAACCCATGCTTGACTGGGTGTAATTACACAACGGCACAAACTACGACACACTCTACACAGTGCAAGGCTCGGCTCAGCTCGGCTCGGCCGCAATGGAGGCGGCCGCCAGGGAACTGCCTCACCTGGGACAGTGACCTCAAGCTCCTTGGAGCAGTGGAGCTGGTCGTGGTGACCCTTGGCCACCAAACGCACCCTATAGGGGAGACCCTCCTTTAAGTCTTTCAGCATAAAGTTCTGAGAGCCATTCACGAGCTCTTTCTGCCACTCCTCTTCTCCTTCACCTGCAGGAGGGACGTTCATGAAGAGAGGCATGTTTGAGGGAGCAAATTCATACGGGCCATCAAGATCATGACATTGTGGGAGCTAATTGGCTAAAATAAAACATCTACTGGTATGGTATTACACTTCAGGCAATAGTTAATATTCATGGAGTTTTAAAAAATCCATTAAGTTTATGAATGAATTATTACGGTGTCCCTGAAAGCTCAACACACTGCAACTTCAGAAAACGTATGCAAATCAAGAAAACCGTTTCAGCAATTTGGCAACACGTGCAGCATTTGAATAAAGATGAATGAGAAAATATCTTCAGGTCCAGAAATGTTGCACAGAAGACACTGGAAATGAGGTTCAAACAACACAAGGAAGACAAATATGTCCATCATATACATTGTCCCTTACAAAGTTGTGGTTCTGTCACTCATTTCCTTTGTGTTCTGTACAACGTGCAGCGTTTCTGTATTGGACTGAGTTTTCTTCCGTTTAGCCACGCCAGCAGTGTGGTTCCTGGGAAAACACTTTAGTCTAGGTTATAGTAGTATGTCAATACATTTTCTACTGGATGCATTACCACAAAGCTGACATTAATGATGAATCCTACTCATTTTGCTGAACCCCTGACATTTCTCAGAGAACCACATTTGCGTTATTCAGCAAAATGTTCCAGGAACAAAACGGCCTGCCGCAGATTAATGTCCTCTTTGTGACAAACTGACATAACTGTGGTGATAATGGTGACTGTTCTTCTCGCTCCATCATCATGTCACAATCTTAATTTTTCCAATACTTTGGAGTCAGGCTGCACAATATATCGACGTGTGCATGTGCAGTACTCTCATTGCAGTAAGTATAAATTAATTCACATCATGCTGCAACTTTTTTTTTACTACTTGATGCAAAATTAACCTCCAGTAGTTCTCATTTTCCATGTCTAATCTACAAGAGAAGTCTGTGTGACCATTTAAGTCAGCACCACAAAGCTCTGTATTCTGAAGTGCAAAGCCAGATATACACAGAGCCGCTGCTGCAGCTGTAAACTTTCAGTCTCGTCTTCCTAATGTCGTGCAAGTGTTGCCAAATTGGCGATGATTTCTTCTCCATTTGATTCTTGCTTTGTCTATCTGCAGGAGTTTTCTTAAAGTGCAGTGCATTACGCTGTCAGGGCCACTTGTACACATTCATGCGGTAATGAGCCTAATATGAAATGTGCTGTGACTGCTGATCACATGATTGCGCTTTTGATAACAACATTTTCTGAATTGCTGGAATCTATTATTATGATCTTCCCTAATTGAATCCATTAAACAGTAGGTGCGAGAGAGCCATACTACAACAGCACTGTGTTTTTCATCCTCGCTGCAGGTGGATAAAAACAATGGAGAGCACTTCAGTCAGACTCGGCTGGCATAACAAGAATGTTTGTGCTGCTTTTTTTTGTGATGTTTGTCTACAGAAGTTCCATCCAGATTGTCACGGGAAATGCACGCGGTTCTAGTTAATAACAGCATTGAGTAATTAGCAATCCAATCACAGAGAGCCTTGTTTATCACATCTGGGTCTACGCTGGCAGGAGCCAGCATCAGCATGACTGCCAATGTTTCTATTCACCTGCACAAGCCAATAATGAAGTAGGAGTCTCTTGCCACCTATGCACGGAGCTGACACATATATTGGTGTGTTGCTTTTGCTTACTGTTTTTTACTACGTATTCTAGATAAACGTTTTTCTCCGAGCCCCAGTACTCCCAACGGATCAGGGCCCCGTCTTCGCCGACCGAGTAGCTAACGTTTCCAAAAGGACACACGGGCTGCGCTGAGCACACAAGAGAAAAGACAACCATCAAGAAATGCCTGCTGGGCAAAGGGCAATCCAATAACTGGCAAATCAAATGCTTTGCTGTAATTATAGTCCCATTACATGCTCTTAGCATCACTGAATCGAGACTCGTGCAACCTTACGTAATTGCCAATCTGGAAACTATACCACCAAAAAACACAGAATACACAAAGCTATGACTATAGTTTGCTAAAATCGCAGCAGAATCTGTACCCTTGTGGGGTGGACGGCGCGGGGGAGACCATGCAATGGGATGAGAGGTTTGGGTGTTCCCTGTAAACAACATGAAGAGGGGTAAAGACAGAGTCACACACACACACACACGAGACACCCACAGAGACGCATAACATTTTTCGCAGCAGAGACACTGCAGACACTGAAGTCATTATACACAGAGAGCACAGTTCATTGGCATGCCAAGCAAACCCTTGCCATGCAGCAGGAAAGTGTCACCAGAAGCTGCCATGGAAGAGGTAAGAAGGGGTCAAAGTAGCCAAAGGCACAGTAGAAGAGAAAAAAATAAAAAACAGAAAAAGCAGCAGAGCACTTTGAAAAAGACTCATCTAGCTTTATCACATGGCATGAAAAAGACACATGTCACATAGCATCTTTATCTACGTGGCTTTGAACTTTTCCCAGCTTTGAACTCAGCCGAGCGTTTTGGCGGGTCGCAGAACGCGATAGAGGCGAGGGGGGAAATAGCTCAAAGACGAGGAGGACATGTTTGCGGTGGATTTTGTAGCTGTGGCTGTATCTGTAAAACAGGCATCTGTCTGGATACACCACATCTACATCAACCTGTGATATTAAGAGCTTGTACGGAGAACAGAGATGCAGAGAAACAACAGGACAGGGGTCGTCATGCCCCCTAACCTGTGTCACATACATCAGCGAGACATTAATGTGTTCAAGCTGTGTAACGTCAATTAAAGATAAGATGCTCAGCAGCCGCATAAGAACATGAGTCATCTTGTGTAACAATGCAACTGGATCACACTCATATGTAACTTAAAATGGACATGGGTGAAGAGCTTATGTACATCATGCAATGTCAAAGGCTAAAAATAAATGAAACATTGTACACTGTACATACACAAGTCACATAATCTGATGGAACAGTCTGGCGTGATTACTTTCATGATCAATTACGCTCAATAATTTCTGGTGAATTGATGGTATAGTCTATTAAATGCCAGTAAATTTTTAAACAGCTGTCCAAAAAAACTAAATATTGTTGTATTTGTAGAAGTTCGGACGAGCAAACAATTGGAAATTTTATTTTTCTAAATGCTTCATTGTCTTGTTTTTCCGTCAACTAATAAATAAACAGAATTATTTTTTCTATAATACATAAAAAACAGAACACCATGCTTCACAATGAACAGCTTTTCTGAGTTGGAGGAATGTTTTTCTGTGCAAACCAAGAACTTTGAGAGCACACACACCAGAGAAGTGTGAGCTTCAATGGCAAAACAAATTTAAAAAAAAAAACATGTTGTACAACTCTGCTCCAGTGCACTAAACTTCATATAATCACTTTCACCTTCATCAGGGTGGTATCTGAGGCTGTTTTGGTTTCCTGAGATCACTTATAGATCATAGATGAATGTGGAGATTGAAATTTGGATTATTTACTTTTAATAAATTAGAAGAATGTAATATATATTTTCCTCTACCAATTACAATCTCTGATCTTCAGCTGTCACCCTAATAAGGGCGAGATAGTTGAAAACATTTAGGGAATAATGTATGGTGCACTGGAGAGTTTTTTGTTTTTTTTTAAATTTCAGAAAGACACCCAAATCATCTGTAACATAATGGGATCCTCCTTCTTAAATTATATGGAACTAATAAGGCTTCCAGTGGGACAAACCATAGCGTTATTTAGGTAACAGTGTACTAGTTGTCTGTACTTGATGTACTTACCTTCATCCATGACGGGGACAACTTCCTGAGAAATGGCGGGGCCTGCTCCAGTGATTGTTTTGGCATTCAAATAAAACCTGTAGCGTGTGCTGTACTTGAGGTGGGGCAAAGTGACTGAGGTCTCATTGGCGGCCAGGGCCATCTCCTTCTCCTGGCCCAGTTCATTGGAGTTATTGACTACAGAGGTGAAGGATGGGCGACAAGAATGATGGGATGGGGGGGTGGAAGTTGGGAAGCAGTCAGGTAAGTTGAATAGAGATATGAGGAGGGCGGGGTTGTAGATGGAGTGTCATGGATGACAAAGGTGGAAATGGGAGCATTTGGAGCAAAGAGGTGTAGGGTTCAGAAATAGAAGGCAGGAATGACCAAAGTTGATTTGTTAATTTGTGTTGTTGAACTTTAGGCAAAATTAAATGCTTCTCCTTTCTGTCTAATAATCTGACCAGAATGACAATACAAGACATGAAAAAGAATGACACACAACTACAAACTACATGAAGGAAGATGACATTTGCTAATCAAAGATACAAAATCTTAGTTGTTATATAAAAGCGCCTCACCTGGCTGATATTTGAGTGTGTAGCCAGTAATGTGTCCGTTATGGTCATGAGGAGGACTCCATTCGAGGGTTAGAGAGTCCAGGTTTGGGTTAGAGACTAGCAGCGAAGTGGGAGGCCCCGGCACTACAGAAAGACATGAATTATGAAACCTTTCACAACTTTATCAAAGTAATGCTTTGCACAGTAACTGCAAATGATGTTTCAAATAAACGACTGAAAACAGGCAGAAAGCCAGTCAGCGTTCTTGAACATTTCAGGGTTTTTCTTTATGCAGAATGTCCAACATTAATACTTTAAGTCCTCCTCCAGTCAAAATGTGTTTTGCTTATTCCTGGTTCATTTGAATGTTTGACCTTCACTCAGCCACTAAGCCAGCATTTTCACATTTCTCTGCTTAAGGGGGAAAGTTTCTCTGCGCTTTTCTTAAATCTCAGTTTAAAACATGTACTTACAAGCGCTGTTTGAGACATTACAACTAGTTTGAAAGCCAGTCATGGTCTTTACACAAGTGTGATGGGGAAATTTGAAGCCTCCAGGGCTCGTACACTGAGACTTCTCAATGAAGCAAAACACATCTTGTGAACAGCAGTTATGCTTTGAAATGAGAAATATGTATGTCTTTGTAAATGTTGGATTTTTATACTGAGAGAATGAATAACAGTGTATTTAAGAATGATTGATAAAAACATACCAGAAACAAAATATTAAATTAAATAATCAATTAAAATGGTTAACTGTTAAATCACAACATCTACGATTATAAAGGTTTTAAATAAAGGTATAAACTAACCCTAACTAAATGTTACATTTTCAGATATAATGTCAACCTTAATGACATAGATTATAAAAAGAGAAAAGCTGAAGGTATTATTGATTTTAACAATTGAAAAAAAAGATGTCTAAATGCCCACAGGTGTTAATAATATTGGAAAAATGGTGGCTCTAAATGCGATAGATATTTTACAATTTACTTTTAGTTTGACTCACACTAATTGCAATTTAGTCCAGTTACTGGAAGTCACAGTTGAGCAACTACTGGCTTCACAGTTGGAGTAAGAAGTGCAGATTTTTTTCCAAACTCTAGTCACCACATATGATACATTTTTGGCAATTTCTTTTAAATGACAAATGTAGAACATAGTAATTTTGATGAAAAGTTTTCCAATAGAGCTACAGCCACATGAGTAGTTCAAAGATCTTCAGATTGTTGAAAACTAAATAATGCGTCCTGTTTTTCTAGCTCCTGGCTCTGATAAATTGTGAGATTTTGGTGATTTTTTAAAGTTAGCAGCCCTTGCAAACCTGTCAGCAGGTTTTGAGATTCAGAGAGCTACATTATATCCACATTACCTTGCGAGGCAGTTGAATCATCATGAGATTTGTGAGATCGCGATCATGAGATAATCCACCTTGCCAAGCTTCAAACTATGTGCTTGGAGCCAATCTACAGTTGCTCTGACATATCAGCATCCTTTGAGGACGTGCTGGCAGCTCTGTTTTAGGTGCGAGCTAGCCTGTGATAGACGATGATTGACAGGTGGTTCATCCAATCACCTGGCAAGTATTTTTTAAATTGCTTTCCCCTTTGCAAACAGTTTTAATGTATAATTTCCTAGATAGTTCCACGTAACAAACCATCTGGGACATTAAATCCACATAAATCAGTGTTTTATAGAAAATCTTGATATAGCATTTGGTAGTGATTCATAATGTGACATTTAGGCCTGAACATGACACGGAATGTTGAGTATTGACACTTCTCATTTGAAAAAAAAAACAGGCAGATAAAAAGGCTTTTCCATCCTTCTCTTACCTCCCTCTGGCATCTTAAACTGCAGGGTTTCGCTCGGGGGACCCTCTCCTTTGCCGTTATACACTTTGACATTGAATGAGTAGAGGCTGAAAGGGTGCAAACCAGGCAGCATGCCGTGGGTGTGGTTCCCGCTGAAGGTCAGGATGTCCTTCTCCATGTGGTCAGGGTTGTGTTTGTGGAGGTTGTGCTTTCTCCAGTAATACACCTACAAAGGCACAGGTGATATACACTCACTGACTGTGTGTATGTGTGTACACATTGTGGTTGGTAGGATTGGTGTATATGCTACACTGTAAGTGGTCCATAGCACTGCACCTTGTATCCTTTGAGATGTCCACGTATTAAATGAAAAGGCACAGGATCCCAGTGTACCTCTGCCAGGGTGCTGTTTATTACTACAGCCTGCAAATTTCCTGGAGCTCCTATCGGCACTGTACAACAGACAAAGAGCATAACATAGCAATGGCTAAATGCAAAAGAGAAACATATTGAATCAGTGTCATAGGTTACGCAGCCGGCATCACTTGTTTTCTGAGTCTACAGAGTCGGTGAAACTCACGGTCCTCTCCCGAGTAGCCTTCGGCAATCTTAGGCTCAGGTCCAGCTCCGTGGTCGTTTACAGCCTGAACTTTTAGCTCATATGGAACAAATGTGGGCGTTCCAGACACAACAAACTTGGAATTGTTGGCAACAGTGACTGTGGTCCACTCGCTGTCCAGCACCTTCTGCCTCCACATCACTTTGTAGTGAAGCCCTGGGCCGTTAGCCTGGAAGCCTGACAGAGGCTGCAGAGGAGAAAGCTTTAAATGCACCTTATTTTCCAATAACACTCTTGTGCAGAAAATAAGCAGTACATAATGCTATATATATATATATATATATGTATGGGTCTGGTGATTGACAATAAAGGATGATTTTAAAAAAACAACACAGAAAGAAAGCTCATAAGACCAGACAGTTACAAAATCATACTTCAAAGTACAAGGAGATTTTCATGTATCACTGTACTCCCTGGACAACGGTAAATGCCTGAGGATTATGATATAACTGATGATATTATGTGGTACTACTTTATTACCTTCCAGGAGATTACAAGGTTGTTATGTTCTGTTCCAAATCCCTGTACACCTGTTGGGTTCTCATCTGGAGCTGGAAAACACATTATTAAGGACAAAATGAACAATTATCCAAAACAAAATCTTTCACTGTCGTTTGACTTCTGTATTAAAGCATTCAAAGAATGTTGATACATATGTTGATCATTCTTTTTTTTCTGTGTTAAAAGATAACCTATCTAATGCAATTATTTTTGCATTAAATAATGAACAAGTGTACAATTGCAGTAAGTTACATGTGAAATCCCAAATGAGGCAGTTGAGGAAATGACACAACTATCCAGCTGACTCAGTACCTGCAGGATCCGTCTTGTACACTCTGGAGGGTAAGCTGGGGTGGCTGAACCCCATGGCGTTGAGAGCCAAAACTCTGAAGGTGTAGTGAACGTAGGGGGACAGTTTCAGGTGGGCTGTCGTCTTGGTTCCAGGGACCTCTGTCAGATTATGCCAGTGACCTCGATGGTGCAGCAAGTCTTCATACTGGATCAGAAATTCTTTCCAAAAATAAAAAAAAAATAAAATTAAAAAATTAAAAAGTCCATTATTTTACCTAAAACCTGACAGTATATTTGTATAAGTGGAATGAATGCCCTCAGGTTTTTTTTCTTTTTGGAAACTCAAAAAGCACAGTTTGCCAAGATATGCCACTTGTGGCAGTGCTTTGAAGCTTCAAGGAAATGGTGGATTTAGCCAGGTTTTCATGAGCGTCTGCAACATGCTGAGCACACTAATTATGCTGCACTAGAGGTTGGAGAAATGTCTTTGTACTCTGTTTAAAAATAAATAAATAAAAAGGATTTGAGGATGTTTTTGCACTGATTTTATACTGTATTGAAGATTATTATCTTTCTTAGACTTATGAACATAATTTCAATCTCTGTTCAAGAGACTCAGCTAAATGCCAACTATGTAATAAAATCGCTACTACCTCTTACTAATACTCATTTTTAATAGCACAACCAGATGAGCATGTACACACTGAACCAACACAGAAAGTCAGCCAAATTACACAAATGCACACACACACACACACATACTCTGAGTGGGACTTTTATGTTCATCCCCAGGGATCCAAGTGAGCTGAACACTCCTCTTTTTCTGGTCTGTCAGCTCGAGGTCGGACGGTGGGTCAGGTCGCTCTGGGAGAAATACAACATCGGCAGCAACATCAACACATGTGCCCGGGATTATATTCACACTGACTTCATTTTGCAGTTACAGAATATGAAGGGTTCATGCCATGACAAGATGAAGCAAAAACAAGAGAGGATATCTCAGTCGTGTTATTTCTGGGACGCTAGAATCACGATAAATGCCAAGTTTGTAGATTTCACCAAGCACGCCTTTTTGTTGCTCTTTCATTTCGTTACATGTTCCGTTTGACAAAGCTATTTGTCCTATGATACACATGCTGACACTGCATCATGCATATGAAATGACTGATGCTCAACTTGAAAATCTTCCATAATCACTCTGCATGAAATCGAGTCTCAGGCTCACTAGAGAGGCTAAATTGATGCTCATGTTTTGGAATTGTAATGATAAAGTGAATCGCATGCTTGGAATATATGAGTGATGAGGAAATGGTGCATCTGAAAATATGCAACGGGGAGATGTCTGTTTTGCAAATTATGTTTGCATTCGACTGGAATTTCATCGTCTAAATGTTTGCACTAGTGGTTTAATGCATTCAGACTTTATGGATTTTGCAAACATACAACTTGGTTTTAAAAAAAAAAAAGGTTATGAAAAAAACATCTCACAGACAGAACGAATCAATGCTGGTGAGCCAAAATGAACAGAGAGACGGCACGATGCTCTGTGACGGTCAAAAACAAAATGCATCTTCAGGCGGCAACATGCTGCGTTTAACAGAAACAACCAAGAGACAACACAAGTCCATGTCAGCGAAGCACATCGGGGTGCTCATGTGTGCTGCAGGTTTACCGTAGACAACAGGTGGTGTCGGTGTGGCTTCTGCCAGGTTGGAGGGCAGGAGTGAAATAGGGAGTTTAGTGGTCAGTCAGCCATAAGAAAACAAAGAAGATTATCTGGCTCGCTAAGAAGGCAACAATCAAATATTCATGCTGCTGACACAATAGCTGACTAAATCCGCTCTGACACTCAAGTAAACTCTCGAGCAATTAACCTTGAAAGGGCTGAAAGGCAATCGTTGTGCCAGTTATTGGACAGATTTGCTTTTCTAGGAAGACCTGAGGTGGAGTGAGGTTACACTTTTTAATAATTTGTGAGGCTGTTTCGTGAGTCAGTGTTATTGAGCATCTGCAGAGAATTCCATACCGACAACAGTGAGCTCAGCGCTGGCTGAGTCATGGTCCAGAGAGGTGTTCATGATGCACGTGTACACTCCTGCATCGTTCTCTGTCACATCAGTGATGGTGAGGCTGTCAGAGTCTACGATCAATCTGTAAAAAAATAAATAAAACAACAACATTCAAACAGACAGTTCAGCATCATCTGATTATGTAAAATCTTGAACTTGTTTTATGAGCAGCCTCTGAGAATAAACATTTAAATCAGTAAATGAAACAGATACATATACAGAATTTTACTTGATCTATTACATCTGATGCAGACTGACAGCAAAACAAAACAAAAAAATAGAGACTTTTACAAACATTTAACCACTCTAACCTCTCATCGTCAGGCAGCTCCCCGTCGTCTTTGAGCCACGTCATGGTGGGGATGAGTGAGGGGTCGTGTTTCACTTTGCACTCAAACACCACAGACTTGCCCCTCTGGACCACTTTGTACTCCGGCTGCTTCAGGATTCGGGTTGGCTCTGATGGGAGGTGCACAAGGAGGTCAGAGGCACTAAAAACCTAATATCTTAAACTATCCTTGTTGGAATAAGCTCAAAATGAAAGTTTAGTTGACAAAGATTGTCATTGATTAATTACCTGGTTATTAATGTCAACTCATTTATCAACTAATCTGAATCAAAACGTTTGTTAACACCTGCAAAGAATCGGATTCTCAATAGCTTCCCCTTACATGTTCACAGAGAACAAATTACACAAACAAACAAAAAAAATAAATGTATCTTACACTTAAACAACTCCTTAGACTGTTATATGACAATGAATGGTAATTATGTACATGCTATTGCACAATGTTTGTTTTAGATCATAGTATATATGACGCATATGCAAAGAAAGATTACTTGGCTTTTCAAGTATTTTCTCACAAAAACTATTTTTAGGTTTATTGTAGCTGACTTAACTGTTGTATTTTATCTTTTTGGTTGTTTTGACCCACAGTGGACAAACATCACATTACAATAATCTGCCCTGTGGGTTAGCTAATTGTACTCGTGCTAATAATTTCAAGCTCTTCAGAACAGACACACTCTCACCTTTGACCTCCAGGTAGACGTGATTCTCAGAAATACCGAGGGTGTTTCTGGCAAAGCAGGTGTATTTGCCGCTGTTTTGGGCTTGAGCCACGTGAATCTCTAGAGTCCCGTTGTCGTGGGTGATGTAAGGGTCTCCATCCAGGCTGATGGACCGACTGCCTTTAAACCTGAGGCACAGAGTCGACCGCCATGAGCTTTCGAACAAACACAACACAACACTCTCCTCTCCTCTGTTCAAAAGTTTATTGACTCACCATGTAATTTTCGGGATGGGTGATCCAAAGGAAGAGCATTCTATCGAGGCCTGGTGATTTTTGATGACTTGGTAGACTTTATTGGCCGGAGTCAGCACTCTGGGTGGCTCCGCTGCAGTGAGGCAGCAGCAATTATTGCTATGTTATTACCTTCCAGCAATCAATGTAGATGGAACAAAAAAAACTAAAGCATTCAAATATAAATGGAGCTTGTGAGATGAACTTACAGAGGACGTTGACAAAGGCGTTGGACAGGAGGTAGCCATAGTCATTAGAGACATTACACTGGTACACAGCGCTGGATCCGGTCTGCACAGCTGTGAAGATTATGGTGTCGTCCTCCACCTTTCTGCTCACATCCTTCGGGGAATCTGTCAATGTAGAGCAGAATTTTACAATTTTACAGATGTGACTGAGAATTCTGAATGAAAAGAAACTTCTGCAGGATCAGCAGAATCAGTGTAAGATAAGCACATGCATGTGTAAGACACAAGCAAGACAGAAAACTTTAATTTTGGCATTCATTAATTCATCTATAAGCATGACTAGATATCAAACCTTAAAGGAACCGTTTTGAACTGTTTGTTCTCACAACTGGAATGAAACGATTTTTTGCTTTGGCTGGCGTTCAGAACATACAGAGCTTTGTGGCAGTATTTATGTGGTCAAACAAATCAGTTGTGTGTCCTCATGTGGTTGCAAGACATTGCTGGGTACCTGTCTTTGTTCAACATCACCCTTTCTGTAGCTTAAAAGTTTCCACACAACTGATGCTGCATTTCTTTCGCGACCAAATCTTAACGCTTTTAGTGTTCCTTTCATGTTCGTCACTCATTCTGCTGTTGAGGCTGCACGTCAACAAACTCTGTCTCTTGTGAATAAAGTTGAAATGCAACACTCCTAAATTGGTGTAAATTATGCTAAAAGATGGACTACTCTTGTATATTGGTTGTGAAAAATGAAAATCATGCAAATTTTGTACCAAACAGCAAAAAAGTTGCATAGTGATGTGCTTGAGTTAATTTGGCTCACTTCACTTCCTGTGATGTGAGGCAAGGTCATGCAGCCATAATTATTACTGGATAAATCTAGCCAGCAGCCAGCTACCTTAGCTTAGCACAGAGTCTAAAAATGTGAGGAAACAATGACTCTGTACAATGCTAATAAAATCTGTGTTGTTTAACACATTATATCTCATTTGTTTAATGTGTACAACTGAAAAATGTTGTTTTTTACTGGAGGATATGTGTGGGCCTTACAGTCACAACACAACCTCAACTTTTGTCAAAAAAGCAAATATATGTCCCAAATTCTTGAATTACTCCTTTAAAAAATGTGTTTTTAGAAAACCGTCTTTATAATCCTTACACTGATGTAGTTCTGGTGTCATAGCTCACATAATTTTCAAACACCCATAAGGAGGAAACTGTAGGCAGCGGTAGTGAGAGGAGCAGGTTGCACTTACTCTCTATGGGGATACCATTCATAGCCCAGCTAATGGAGGGTTTGGGTGTGCCACTGGCCCTGCAGATCAGCACACCGGTCTCTCCCGGAGCTAGAACAAGGTTCGTGGGAGCGCCGCTGATCCAATACGGAGCAGCTGAAAGTAGAACAGAGCGCAGCAGAAGGCTGGAGAATTAATCACTGAACACACTGCCCTGTTGGCATCTGTGCATAAATCAATTATGAGCTGGAGGGAGAAGAGGAAGGAGGAGACGGAAAGAAGCAGCGACTGTGCTGCCACACAGCTGACGGTCTGATGGGATACTGAGCGTTTCGTCACGGACACACCTTTGACCGAGACGTGGATGGTGTGGTGCACTGCGCCGAGCTGGTTTCTGGCTGTGCAGCGGTAATCTCCCGCATCCGATTCCGACACGTTCATAATACGCAGGGTCTTGTTATAGTGCAGGAAGGATGTGCGCTTGGCGGGCAGATCGCCGCTCACTTTGGTCCAGGAGATTTCAGGGGTGGGTCTGGATTCAAAGGGAGACGAAGGCAAAGAGGCAGAGAGTGATGAAGACGCCCAGGCAGGTGGGCACTTGAGGCATTCAGCACTAAAGTAATGGAGGATTCTTTGACTCACAGTCCTTCAGCGATGCACTCCATCTCCAGTACGTGTCCTCTCAACACCATCTTGGAGCTGGAGGAGTCAGATGGGATGAGGAAGGTTGGCCTCCTCTCATCCATCGGGGCTTCTGTAGTCACATACACACAGAGTGAGTCAAACAGCAAAGACATTACCATCACTTCTGTAGCAGTCCATAATGAAGAGAAGATGTAGAGCAAATAAGACCTTTCATAATCACTAACTTCCCCACTGTGTAAACAGTCATGTAATTAAACCTACATTGGTCCCCACAGACACTAAGCTACTGCATTGTAAAGCAGTTCTCATATTTTCTAGTTAGATGTAAATGTAATTGTCATGTTGTGATTAATTGTACTGCTTTCTGTGGGTGTTTATTGTCAATAAGTTTCCCTCTTAATAATAAAAGAAACGTAACAAGCAACTTACAATAAGAGACACAAAGAACTGTTTTCTTCTTCTGAATTGGCAAATAAGCTGGCAACAAAAGCCCCTTTCAGACATGCACTCGTGTCCGCTAATCTGACGGCATCTGAAGCTGCAAAACATGTTTCTCGTTGTCTGTGTAGATTCTCAGTCATCCAGTTCACAGAAGAAGCTTCAGTAGAAAGCAACTGGACTTCTCTTTAAGGTTCTTGAAGATGTTTCACCTCTCATCTAAGTGGCTTCTTCAGTTCTGAACTCTCAGTTCTGAGCGGTTAAACATCTTAAAGAATAAAAATAAATAAAAAAGCAAGGGTTGCTTTCTACTGAAGCTCCTATGGGTTTTCTTTCTCATTCATTTTGGCCAACAATTTTACATTTATTACAAACTGAAATAAAACAAATCATACAAATAAAAGAGTCTGCAAGTCAGATTAATGGGACGCAAAAACAGCTAATGTAATCTGAATTTTGACAAAACATTAACAGGAGCTGAAGTTTACTTTCTTTCTTTCAGCTGTTTGTAGGAAATGTTCCTCTAAATCTGTTGAATACCAGCGACTGATGAAGCTGTTGTGATGTTTTCATTTAACTATGGGTTAGTTAGATATCATCACACAAGAAGTGTTTATGAAATCATAAAGTAACTAGGCTGTTTTCACAGTTTGATCAGCTTGCTTTTAGCAAAGATTTAGTCTTTTGTTTATTCACGCGTATCACGCATCACTTGATGTACAACAAAAACCTGCGTAAAGGACAAATATGAGCGCAGACTGTGGCTCTACTATGTAAATGAAGCCTGGAGGAACACGATGTAAACGTGATGTCAGCCTGAATGACAGAACGCTGTCAGACTGATAAAGTAGCAATGTCACGTATCTCATGTCTGAAAAGGGCAAAAGTGATCATCTAAAGTAATAATGTAAAAACCAGAGTGGTTGTTTTTGATGATAGCAGTGATTTTCAGTCATTTGATGAGAATCATTGTGTCTGCAGGTGTTCTGCGTAGGACTGTTTAGACAAGGAGAAATAAAAAAGATATTTTAAGCAAAGAGAAATGAACTGAGAAGAAAATAATTGATGAAAGCGAGAGTTGGTGCTGAAATCAGGTCGGGTAGCATGGAAAGACTGATTTTAGAAGTTAAGATTGCAGCTGCATGTTTGACAGGAAACAAAATTTAGAATTTTAATGAAATAGAGGAGCTGTGATCGGATCAAATCCATCGTTCATCATCCATCAGATTTTATTTTAGTGTGTTGAAGTTGGGACTTAATTACTTTACTGTATTCTTTTCAAAGCTCTGTTGTGATTTTCAGAATGTTGCATGTTTAAGTTACACAATCAGTTTTATAACGAAGTCAGCATGCAGTGCTAAGTCTAGGAAGGAAATAGTTAACAGAAGGGTTTTGATTGGACAGAGCAGGAGTGACAGAAGGACAGAGAATTATCTTGGATTCTTGGGTTTGAGGGGTAGAGTTAGTGGGTGAAGTACAGTTTGGAGCTCTATGTTAGGGATAAACACTAGAGGGTGCCAGATGTCACCCCTAAATACACCAGTGAGATGTTAAGCCTCAGGATCGTTGGGTAGAAGGGGTAGCATTAGTAGGTAAGAGCTGGAGTTTGAAAGCTCGAAGTCGGGGGTTAAACACTAGGGGGTGCCAAAACTCACCACTAAATAAATCAGTGTCATTGTAAAAATCTGCCATTGTGTCATTGATTGCATCCACTGCAACACAACAGAAAAAATCACACAAACCACAAGTTGAAATCATCACGACAAAAATAAAAGCACATGCTTTGACAGCTTAACATGACAGTGCACAAAATCAAAAGCAACACGACAAAACTTCAAAAAAAGTGATAATGAACGACTTTCGTAGGAATCCAGCGGGAATGGCCCGTCGTCACGTCAGCTGCAAACGCTAGACTGGATGAGAGCAGCCTTTGTTGTTGGAGGAGAGTGTTTATACAGAACATCTCAGAGAAGTGATAGCAAACGGCTGCCTGGCAGATAGTCCGCAGAGCCATGAGAGCGCTGACAATATGTCTTTTCAGTGGGATGACGACCGCTGGCGTCTCTCAGGATGGGATCACAGATAGGAAACGCCGCCTCCCTCCTACGCAGTCATGCCAGCACATACTACTGCAGACGAACTGCCTCTCATGCGCACACATTACACACAAACACTGTCGCTCCCTGTTCGTCTCAGCCGCGCTGGTTCATTACAGCTTCAGTGGATTTCGGTGCTTTGTTCTCTGCGTCACACACGCAGAGTCAGACTTACGGTTGAGGACCCTGACGTTGATGGGTTGCTTCTGCTGGATGGTTTGGGTGTGAGGGAAGCGGGCGTAGCAGATATAGTCGTTCCTGGAGTCCTCTCGGCGAACATTAGAGAAGTATAGGTCACCGTTGAGCGACTGGGACACCCTCCTGCTCTGAGGCAGCCTCTGAAAGTCTGAAACGTAAAGCAATATAAGTTTATCTGCAGTTCTATTGAATATATGGAGCTGTGTTTGAAAGATGATGCTATATGATATATTTACAATAAAGCCTCTCCCACAGTGATACATTTCATGATAAACTATCACCTTTAAATCAAACCCATAATATGTTAAAATGCTCCAAATTAGGCCTCGGTGCATCTAATGTGCAGCATTCAAGCATGTTTGTTTGCATATTTTGGTTCATCAGGTTGAAATTTTCACATTTTAGCTGACAATTTTTAAAAGCATGTGATACTGTTTAACTGCAGATTCATTGTCCTTAGTGTTCAAGGCAAATATTAGTTTCTATTTATATCTGTGTAGAAGGAAAATCGATTAATAGCATAAAATCTACAGAATTTAAAAGAGCTATCTAACTTGTTGGAGTTAATGGACACTAATAGACACAGTTGTCCTCAAATTTATTCATACCCTCCCATTCAAAAAGGAAAAAAACAGCTGTCACTGAAATAAGTTGAAATTGATGAAAGCAATACGAAATAAAAAAATAGTGAAAATCATGACATTGCTTTTGAATTGTGGTTCAACATATATATATATATAAACAACAAGCAAACAAGCTTGATGGGACCCGTGAACTAATATTTAGTTGAACAACCCTTTGAGCCAATCACTGCAATCAAGTGTTTTCTGTAACTCTCAATCAGACTTCTGTACCTGCTGACAGGTATTTTTATTTTAATCCACTGCTCATCAGCAAAGTGCTCTCATTTGTCCAGGACAGCTTTGTTTTGTTTTGTTTTTTAAAATTATTCTTTTCAACCACAATTCAAAAGCAATGCCTTATTTCACCAAATTGTAATTTAGAAATGTTTTATTTATTATTACTTTTTTCAGTTTCTAGCTTTTTTAGTGACTGTTGTGAATTTTGCCTTTTTTTTTTAATGGAAGGATATGAATACATTTGAGGACGACTGTACATAAAACACACTCATACAACAGTAGAAACACACATTAAATTGTGTACGAGTCTGCCCCACACAAATGGGTCACTAACATGTAAAACCACCAACATGTATTCTTAGACAGCAGACACATAAGGTTACCAGAAGGAAACTTATGAGATAAAGCAGCTCACTATTGTCCATCCAGAATATGATGGGAGGAGGAAGGCCGGCTGGGGGTCGACATGGCAGCACCAAGGACACGCCCTCCCGAACCACGATTGGCTTGATCTTCTCCTTCGACCACAAGGGGGATCCTGGATTGGTCGGAGAAAAACACGTACGTCAGCGGAGAAGGAGTGTCATGATTTGACGTGAAATTTGGGTTGCTAATGGACTGTTGCTGACATGATGACAGAGGTGACGAGGCGAGATGAGAGGGATGATGCCTAACTGAATTACAATGCGCTAGAGGGGAAATACAAAAGGGAGATTCAGCTCTACCGGCTAAAGCATCCCGCAAAACAAAGCGTGCATCTTTTCTACATGCAACCTTTACCTTCCAGGAGCGCTCTCAAGGTGAAAAATGCAACTTAAGTGTTAGAGAAAGAAAAAAAAGGAGTTGATTTTCACATGATGTGAGATGTTAAGAAAATGGAAGAAAAGAAAAATGACTTGAAGAAACGAAACATGAGACAGCACGTACTGGACTGTCGTACGACTATGTTGCTGGAAACAGCAGTTCCATGTTTGTTCCTTGCTGTGCACTGATACACCCCCTCGTAGTTTTCCACCTTCTCTCTGCTGATATCCACCACCAGAGTCCCAGAATGGGCCTTCATGTTCACGTTGGCGTCGTTGTCGACGTCAAAGTGGGTCCCGTTTCTCGTCCATGAAAAACTGAGGAAAAAGCAGACAAGTGCTATAACAATGTGTCTAACATTCAGTGAAAACATGTTGCTGGATGACAAACTTATATTTGTATTTTATTCTAATAAACAATAACACGGACAAAAGAGAACAAAAGTCCCTGAAAATCTATTTGCTTAACCAGCTACTTACTATGAGTAATGGTTATGAACATGAACATGGACTTTATGTCAGAGTTCTCCAGAGTTAATGATGTTGTTTCCCTTTACTTAACTTTGACTGATGCTAATTTGCTAATCTGCTAATTTAGTCATGAATATTTAAAGTTACATATAAGTTTTTAAACATTGTGTTGTGGCGATGGTGACATACGACACTAGTTTTATGAATAAAGTTACTGTAGTTTGAATAAAGTTAAGATAAAGGGCTAAGAAATGAATTTTGTCAATGAGGTTTCTTGCATCTCTTAAAGTAGAAAAGTGTGTGCACTGCTGATGCCTGGCAAATTAATTAGGTGTTACACAAATCTGAAGCATTCAGAATCATTAAAATCAGCCTCTGGCAAGGGCAGCCCATGAATAAAATAGCATTTATTTATTTTAAAGTTTGAATAAACTCAGACTCTTGACAGTCGTTTTTTTTTTTCCTTTTTTTCAACTGAACTCCAAGAAAACTTGCTGTTAGCTGAAACGTTTTTCTGGGTTTTGACAGGTGGTGGTTGAATCCTCACCTGGGATATCTCTCCTTCATCTAACAGCATCCTGAATGCTAAATCGCTGTGCACTGATTCCTACCTGGGATGTGGCTTCCCCTTTGCGTCGCAGTGGATTATAATGTTCTCTCGAGGATCAATGATGAAATCCTTGGGGGACTGCTGAGTTATGGTCGGCGGCTGCGGCACTAAAGGGCGATGAGAAAACGGGCGATGTTTAATCATGACCTTTGCTGCATAACAAAGTCTTTTTTTCTGCTGCTGTATTGACCACACAAGCAGTCTTTACCAGTCCCATGCAGACTTACCACACTGAATGAAACCAGACAGCTGTTTGCTGACAGACACAAAAAGCTCTCACAACGTGTGCAACAGCAGAAAGGCATGCAGGTACATTATCCTTTATTGCAATGATCCGATGCTTAATGTATTCCTGTCAGTGCTGGGGAGATAACTAATGGACTATGACAAAACAAATCATATAAGAACTCATGCTGTTTGCAATATCGCGCTACGGAAAATGTCCTACCACTGCAGAAACACGGAACAAAAACAGCAAACAAAGAAACAATAAAATCAATTCATGCAAAATGCAAAGTCCACTCAAAATCACACTCAAACGCTTTCAACATAAAACAAACTAAATGTAATCGAAAAATATAACAAACAGCTCAAAAAAAAAAAGTAGAATCCTTAATGCACAAAAATTGCTAGCACAGCCTTGGCGGTGGATTCGTTGGAGACTTACATCCTTCCTGAACTGTTGTGTTTTCCCCCAAGAATCAGCAAACAAGAGAGAAAAAGTTGTGACAGCAGAGAGAACCAGACATTAGTGAAGAAAAATACCTCCCTGCCTTATTCCTGCTTCACAGCCAAGTTTGAACGAGGCCAGTTCCCCACTGAGGACTGCCAGCCTGCAGTGGTCAACAGTTCCAAACAAACAATACGTAGAAGCTCTGCTGCCACACAGACATCAGGCTGAGGTGCTAAAAGTCGGTCTGTCACAGCCGTTTCTTTTGCACATCAGTCAAAATGAGGACAATGCAGCTAACAGTGTTTACTTCACACAAAAAAAGAAGGCAAAAAAAGAGCTTCCTTTAAGAAAACAGTGCTGTTTAGAAAAAAAGAGTGACATGGATATATGAATAAATATTCATAGAATAAATGTGATTAGAGCTGGAATTAATCACTTTGCAAAAACATTTAGCCAATATTTAAACAAAAATACCAATTATTGACTGGCTTCAGTTGCTCAAATGAGAGTAATTGATGGTTTTATTGACCATATATACGATAGCAAGCTGAATAGTTTCAGGGTTTAGACTGGTCCTGTAAAAATAGAAAACTTAAGACATCATCTTAAGCTTGGAAGAAAAGTAATAATTAATTAATTATGAAACTATATAGAAACAGTTGCGGCCGTAAACGTAACATTATCAAAAATAAGACGATTTTTCCAACCTTCAAGGGAAAAAAAACATGATGACACTTATCAGCCAAACTAGGGTTGGAAATGATTACTTTATGCCATCATTAGTTCAGCCTGCCACAACATCAGATTTTCCCTACATGATTATCATAGCTGAAAGAACTCACAATAAAAATAATATCATGATATCTCAAAAATATGGTTATAAATATGTTATTGAACGAACTACACTCAAAATAGAGAGTCCATGACTGTACTGTATGTTGTTTCTACGTTGGAGTGTCAAGCAAACAGTGTTGCATTATTTATGATACTATCAAATGTGTAATATGATTATAACAATATTTAGTTTTCTAAAAATCATGACAGTTGCTCTTTATGGAAAAATCACTCTGTTCTCCTGGGTTTTTGCTGCGTGCTGTGTGATCTGCTGCCTTACGGTCTAGTGGGACCTCCAACGCGGCGGCCAGGTGTCCCAGGAACAGCACAAGCAGCGCCGCGTCCATCCTCCTCCTCTCCATCATCGGCGTGTGACGCAAAGACCTGCCCACGAATACAGCGACGCCCCGCCTCTCTGCTCAGTCACACCGTCTGAGGACACGTGCACATTCACAACTACAGAGAGGGAGAGAAAAGAAAGAGAGAGCGTCACAGATTAGAGGATAGAGGCCGGAGCAGAGATTACTGGGTTTGAATAGCACATCCAGTTACTGCAGCTATCAATCATAATACTTAGTTTGTTCTATTCTGTGTTCTTCATCAGCAGCAGATAGAGAGGGAGGGAGGGAGAGAGGGAGAAGGGGAGAATGAGCGAGACAGACACATATAGCTCTGGCCACAGATCGATGCTAGTTGCCATGCACTGCAGTTTGCTGGAGGCTATCTTTTTGATCTGATGCATTCCAGTAGGGAGCGACCGGGCCCACGTGGGCTCATTTTGCTCGGCTAATCACCGCCGTGGTCATGATGCCATTAGGCTTCTGTGCCATATCGATCACATCAGCTGCCAGATGACATGCCGAGGGACAAGACAAAGGCGACACTCACTTTACTTTCCATTTTACTCTCAGCTTTATCAGTTTGATTGACTGACTGATGGACTGAGCCAGCAGCAAAACTGATCTGCAACGAGGTCAGATTTCAGACACTGAAGCATCGTGCTTTCAGGAGACTGCTGTACTGGGAAATATCATGTGTGACTGGACAGATCTTAGATCTCTGACATCTCCGTTCAGTGGGGACGGACGGTTCAAGTTGAAAAGTGTGTTCAGGCTAAGCTGAGGTTACTTGTTTGCATGTTTGAACAAAGTGGTGGGAGGCTTAGTAGCCATTGATTAAGTGTTAATTAAGTGAGGATTTTCTTTTGTTACACAATGTAATCCAATCATGTCTCCATCACAACACTGGTGGATGGACGGTAATTAGCTCGAAACTTAAACACAATGTGCAAAGTTTTCACTTGTTGAGAGTTCGGTGGTGCCATATTACACACCTTCATCCTTTTCTTTTGAGGACAAATGGAATAATAGCAAAATTCAAATGCTGAAATATCAAGATAATCCAAACTGTAGCGTCGCCCAGGGTTCAGAAAATGATCGTAGGCAGCAAGTCAAAAAGACTTTGCTCGGCCTAATTCATATTCATCAGCGTAATTCTGTGCCGTCAGAGAAATGATCAGTATTTTGCATCAACGTGAGCTCTCAAACGATGAGCAAAAAGAATGAAGAAACTGAACTGAGGAGTCGTTTTCTGTCTTACAACAACAACAGTCTGACCTGTTATCTTGCTTTTCCTGCCTGTCTCACCCAAGGCATCTGCAGAATGAAAATGTCACAGCTGAATTTAGAGCACAGGCAGACTAATTTGCCGCATTATCACAAAAGCACACTATCAAATTTGGGATATTAATGCTGGTTAGCATATGAAAGAATCAAACGGAGCCCTTTGAAGGTGGAGCCTCACATGTGTGTTGCTCTCTTGCCGTTGGGCGTGGGGCGGGTCGGCGCTGGAGATGAGGTGGTGGATGCTGTGTCTGGGACCAGAGGCTAAGACAGCCAGGCAGCCAGACCTGGTCCCGGCCCGGTCCTCCTTGGGGAACTGGGGTATTTGTTAGTGTTGCCCTACAGTCATGGCGCAGTACCGACCCCTGAGCCGGTGTCTGGCAGCGTACGGAGAGACGGAGGCTAACGTCTGCTGCCCTCGGCCTCAACTACACCTCTCCCGGGAAGGCCTGTATTATTCGCCTAGGGCAGCCAATCACGCTGCCGCTTACACCATCAGGCAGCCCTGGCTTGGGATTTGACATAGAAAGATCCAGCGGGTCATTTCATCAAGCTCATTTGCAGGCTGTAGGCAAAGGTGGTGAACCTGTACACATTCATTCCTTCAACATTTATTTTTGACCCACTATGTGTTAGAAATTTAAGAACACGTGTAATTTATGCAAACTCCATTTATGCTTATTAGCAGCCGAGAGTGAGCAGTCACAGGTGAGGCATAAAAAAAAAAAAAAAGGACAGCCTGTGACAGCAAGAGAATAAATGTGTTAATTATAAGTTTTATGGTGAATCCCCAAAAGCCTGGAGATTCTTATCTGGAATGGAGCCAGAGCTTCATCCAGGATTCATTTCCCAATTTAATGAGGTGTAGCAGCTCAGCTCCAGCCGGTCAGCATGTGTGTGTCTTTGTGCACATATCTGATACGTGTGTGTGTGTGTACAGTATGTGTGTGTTTGCTATAATTATCCCTGTGAGCTGCAGTGATACGAGGCCGGCCCCTCACATCCCTCTCACAGTAGGATGACAGCGGAAATTCAAGTGGGGCTCTTAAGACGAACCAACCACCAGAGCCCGAAAAACATCACTAAGAATTAAAGTTGTGGAAAAATAGCCAGTCTTTATCCTGTTCAAATGAATTCATGTTCCTAATTCTAAAAACCTCCACTTTAGCAATGTAGCAAAGCTTGCATAATGAGCGCATTTTGAGCTCCGCTGGATTTTAAAGAAGAAAGTTCAAAACCCGCTTCTCATTTGAATATAATTCTTCAAGGACACTCACAATCAGAGGAGTATCTACCTCTGCTGTTGAACCCTCCTTTGCATCCTTTGCTGACAGAAGCGGGAAAAAGCCAAAGTCAATAAAGCTCCCTTTGCCGAGGCCCAGATAAAAACCACACTACAGTTTGGAGAGCTGTGCCAAAAGCTGTCATAGGGCTGATAAAATCGAACAGGAAATGGTCTCTTAGAAAGAAACACGACAGGTTGGTAACGACACTTCCAGTGAGGATTTTTGCCTATTTTTCAAATAGATAAGGCTGAGAGGATAAACTACAGTAGGTTACTGAAAACTCAATACAATATTTATTCAGCCTCATGAAAGCTTTAAGGACCAGATTTGTTTTAGCTCCTTAAATCTGCATTATCTGAATTATAGGAGACAGTTAAAAAAAGATGGAAGCACACTTAATATACTATTAGCTTTTAGGTTGAGACAAGTGCAATATATTAGCATTTATCTACTCACACATCCACAGAGCATCCTTACTATTCATTCATGAAGGAGCTCTGTTTTGATCTCTTCCATCCTAAGGGACATAATTGAATTTAAGAACTGCTAAATGTGTCACTAGGTTAACCAATCAGTTGCTATTATTGGCTGTCTGCTGTTCGGCAGGTAGCATGCAGTTCACTTTTTGAATTTTTAGAACCATGACAGAAAAAACCAAGAGGAAGTTGTGAGCTGTGAAGCTGAAAGATGCTAAAATGGTCAACATCAATAATTTTTCACTATTTATGGATTAGTTCTTTAGTGCACAAATGTCAGAAAAATGGAAAAAATTGCAGTTGTTTTGTTCAACCTACAGAAATTCAGTTCACTTTCATAGAGGCCTGAGAAAATCAGAAAATACTCAAATGTAAGCAGCTGGAATATCTGACCCTAAATATCTTCGAAAATTCAAATAAAAATCAAAATAGTGGGGGAATAATTTGTTTGTTTACATCTAATCAATAAATGAGTGCAGCTCTACTATAATTAATCCCTTTAACATACACCTACATATTTGATTAATTGTTAGAAAGAAAAATATTGATTAATGGAAGCTTCAAACACAATTCATTATATTTCGCATTTTTACCAAAGATTTTGAAATACGTGCTGCAGAATTATGGCATTTCCTCATGTTTCTGGCAGCCATTTAGTTTCCAGTTATTTGCACAAGATGTGAAAACGTATTTACAAGTTAGATGTCATTTGCAAACCACCACAGCGAACATCAAACTGTAAGTCATGAAAAATTTAGGAGCCAGTCTGTGCTTAAACTTCAGTGATGAATTAAGTCAGGGAAGTTTGCATAGAAATGAACGCTTGCATCAAATGGTTGCAAAGACACCAAAACCTTAAACACAGCTACATGGTTGGCAGAATGTCTAGATTTGGTGCAAAGTCATGCAATTTAAGGAATTCATTTAATATGCAAAGCTACTGTGGAGAACATTTAAATACCACTAAACCACCTAACTAGTCGGGTTTCTTTGGTTAAAATTCATGTCGGCACAATGACAGGCTGTAATGTTAATTAGTGTCTACAGCTACATGAGACTACCTTCACTCAGGACTTGCTTTTTCATTTTGTCAGAAAACACACAGCTCTGTAAAAAGCTGCATTGAGCTGTCTGGCCTCTCATTCAGCCGGCCTCTTCAATTACTCCATTGTCATTTTCCCATGCCCAGCTACTTCTCCATCCCAAAACTAATTGGTTTTGTGCACATGTCAGACACGTAGCGCATGCAGCCACACACACACACACACACACACACGCACACACACACACACACAAGTACATAGGATAAGGCACATTCTTGCAGGCTGTCCGAAGAACGTGAGGGTCAGGACATGTCTGAGCACACAGATGGAGCTGACGGGGGCACGAGGACTGAGAATGGAAGCAGAGCACAGTGTAAATGAATAGCAGTCCGCAGGGAAGGATCCCAGTTGAATCCCCCTCCCAGCAACAGATAATACTGCATCACACGCTTTATGCCAACCATTAGCAAAGATATTGTCATTGTCTGTGCCGAACAGCCGTGATGCAACGCTGCAACCCTGACAGATTCACTGCTATTGCATCAGTACTGTACAGTTTTAACATTTATGATGAAAGACGAGCCTTTCTCTCACGGCAAGCACCCTAATTAACGTCCATAATCAGTGCTATTGATGGCTCATGCAATCAGGGGTTTGTGAGCCTCGGCATGGCCTTAATGAAGCAGCAGGGATCTCCTGCACACGACTGAATGGAGGAGGGCATAATGATGAGAATGGCTCCGTGCACAGGAAGGTTTTGATGAGAAAACGGATAAGGTTGGAAGAGTTTATTTTTCTGAGGTTGCCGGGTGCTCTCGATGCTTGCTATTCACGCCTGGAGCTGCATGCAATTTCTCTGAGTGCCATTAGACATCTAAAAGGGGGAAGAGGGAAGCTGCTTAAAAGGCTTTGCTATAGAAGAACAGTGACACAGTCTTTTAGTGGCTTGTCAAAGGTTGAGAAAGTCACAACCATAGGGGTTTAAATATGAAGTAATGTTGTTAGCACGTTGGTTAATACTTCTCTGCA